CACCTCCAAATAGCTGCGAAACTTCTGGCATGGAGTCACCCATGGATAGCTATCTGGAGACCATTACTATTGATATAGGAAACCCTCAACATCGAGCAGCTCCGACAACGTCGCTATGGTCTACATCATCTTCACCACAGTCGCTAAGGCACGGGTTGATGGTATAAGCCGGACGTACCTGGTATGGAAAGACCTATATTTCCTTCGTGGACTCCGGACTGAAGGTGAGCACTGGTGGTTACATCGAGCAACTCGAGAAGAATATCCTCCCCACATGTCGTCGCCCGTAGCTTCTTGGAAACTTTGTACTGCTACAGCATTGGGTGCCACCACATGGAATCGGAGAGCGTTACCATCGGAGTCGGAAAAACTCTCGAATACTTGGAATGAAAGGGCGTTGAGTGCCTAAAGGAGATGGAGTATCCAAGTAGGTTACCTGACCTAAACTTCCTCAATTACTTGGTTCGGGCGGAGTTCATTAGGGTGGTCTACGGAAAATTCGACTGAGTTCAATAGGGTGGTCTACGGTAGCGGAAAATTCGACTATCTCGCTGATCTCAGGCACCACATCGCCTGGCAGAATCTCACGATGGCGCTCGGTCAGAAGGCTGTGGCGGAGTGTCGTGATAGTATTTAGTATGTTCTTCAGGATGGTGGTAGAAGTGTTCGATCAGAATTAACAAGGTGTAACTTATAGCGCCTCGAAAGTCCAGGAAGGGAAGTGACTTTTTTATTGCCCCTGTATATCAGTTTAATCGCTCATACCACTGTGATCGAAAAGGAAAATGACTTTTCACCTCAAATCTGGTAGGGATATCAAATTGGACATAAATTCTTGCAGAGTAATGCTCTCGTTGACGGCGTCGAATTTCTCATCATTTCATGGGTGCTATACAGTTTTGTTTGCTGCGGAGGCTATTAGGGAGGCTGGATTAGGCACTGCCATCCCCTTCAACACCAATTGTTGGAGTGGGCAAGCGACATAAATACTGGATGACGTGCTGGCCGCGCCAAATCCAGCACCCTGACATGTCTAAGCGTCCGCAGCGAATAGCGCTTTAGTTACTCTTGTATTTTGTGAATGCACCCAGTTCCATAGGAAGTATTAAATCCCGATTGCGGAACCGAAATTTCTGCTGCAAATGGCTCCATGATAAAGTAAGAACAGCCGGAAGAACACTGTTCAGTTTTCATAGAAGAAACTAAATGTGAATCCCTGCATGAGCTGAAGGTTATCTGAGAAATAGAGTGTACCATTTATTTGAGAATTGGAAGAGAGCTGGCATAAATATATTTGTATCTATCTCGGGCAGGGATTTCTCCCGAGGGGACGGGAGGTATAGAAGAATAAATAGAGAGTGCACCTTTTCAACAATTATCTATCTTTGTGGCAGTTGTACAGGAGATGGTGCGGAAACAAAGGAAAGAGTTGACAGTTGTGTAAACGTGAGACTCAGGGCTCGCGTTGCTCTCAGAGATTGAAACGTGAAGTTCATGTCAGTTTTTAGGGAAGGTCAGTGACGTCCACCTCAGAATTGGTTTTCATAGCTCACTGTCACACTAAGGCGAATGTGCTATTCATCTTTTAGTTTCATGAAGTTTGAGCGAAGCTATGACAGTGCTATGGTTTGCGGAGAGAGCTTTCACCACGCTCTTCCACAAATTAGGAGCGATATTGTATATAAGTCCATACCTGAATCTCTTTTATATTATTGTTGGCTAGCGACAATTGCCTGAGAAAAAGTGCTCCCTGGAAGGTGGCTGGAGTAACTGAGCTGAGACAATTATTAGGAAGCCACAGCAGCAACAGTGGAATACCAGCGAAAGCTCCAGAGGCGATTGACTGGAACAACGTACTTCAGAAGGAAACTTCATGTTCACCAAAACGTAATAAGAGTAGAATAATTAGTTAGTTTCACGTTATTTATGCATTGTTAGGAAAAGAATTCTCATTGTCTACAACCGCATGATTTTAGCTGAAGTCTCAGATAAAATGCCTCGGGTGAATAGCAAAATAATGCAGAATGCCTAACTCTGCCTATAAGGTGCAAGTTCTGCTGCTAGTTCTGCTGCCACAGAGTGCAAGGTAAGTTTCTTCTGTACCGTGAGAGACACACCCTAAGGTACAAAAAAAACCAAGAAAAGCTAATCCGCGATTCCTTCATTTTTTTCTAGCTGGAACTCAGTTCCGTCACCTTTCCGTGCAGGGTTTTTTTCCTGAAAATAGAGGAGTCTACTGAACGTCAACTTCGGTTTTTCTACTTAAAGAGTTTCAAGCATTCGTTTAACTGCACTGACTGCAAGATCATAGAGGTCCTGCTCGGTGGATTCTATCTTTTCAGCAGCTCGCGAAGCTCAAGTACAAAGTCGAAAAGAAGTTTTACAGCTCCGAGCTCTACGATGCGGGTCAGCATAAGTACGAATCGTTCGCTCTTCTTCGCATCTTGTTGGGATGTCTCGCACCCAGGGATGCGACCTCAATAAGCACTGGAATGTCGTACTCAATTGCGAAATGACCTCAGTTGATATGAGGTTAAAGAGCTCACCACAACCAGAAAGGAAAGCAACTGCAACGCAACAGCACTTGCTGCTGCAATGCGCCAATCCTCTACGGTATTCGCCGTAATTGTTTGAAAAATAACGAAAAACGCACCTCATTGTCAGCTTTTTTCCGTTTTTCTTGCTATAGTTAATCCTATGAATTTTTCTAAGGAATCGCCGATGCTGAACATCAGCGATTCCTTAGAAAAATTAACGCCACTACATTTAAAGGAAACTTTCGGTACTAGTAAGGAATGATGCTTTGGTATACCTCAGCAGTTCTTTCAAGGAGAATAGGGGTAGGGGTAGCGGAGAGCTGCATCCTAAATAAGCGAAGTGTGCAAATTAGTTGGTTTCACATCCGCGAAAAAATGGTGTTCCACTGCGTGAGTGTTAAGAAGACAAGTGTTTCGGCAGAACAGAAGAGCAACGCCGCCAAAGACGTCGTGATGCTGTGCAACGCTGATTGTATGGGACCGTGTCCTACAGTTTCATAGTGGATGAGAGTTTTTGCGAAGCACATATATACATATTGAACCCAAAGACCCTTTGCACGGGCACAACTGAAACGTTGACGATGAAAGCTGATCCGAAAAGATGATTGCCTGAATAAATTCTTTCTGGCGTATTATTTTGTGACCGATGAGAGTGCTGTTCTAGCGCTTCCTGTCCGACTGTGGAGCGACCGATACAAGGATTTTTCTTGAAACTCATGTCACTGTTTATACACGAGGCGACTCCCCCCTCTTTCGATTCTATAATTCCCTGTATTACCAGCTGCATATCGTTAGTTCAGACCCACGACATTCCTAGAGCGGATGCTGAGCAGTCCCGCAAGACTCCTGCTTCACTCGGGAAAGTTCACAAGTGGGCAACGGTTGGCTACAACTCCAAATTCCTCTTTCCTTTGAATTCAGTAGACCCCTCTGTTGCCATAGTCTTAAAGACACATGGTACGCTCAAACACATTGAGGGTGTATGAGACTATCAGCCCCCCAGCTGTCGATGTGTCGTGGTCCCCCCGCCCAAAACTGCAAGGGGTCAGAGTACGGGACCGTGGGAAAGTCTTGATTCCTTGCTACGCCGCCCGTTTTCGCAAACTCACGTTTTTACTAGCCGTCCGTCCGCGCGGCGCGGTCGCGTGCAGCTCTCATGGCTTTTTGCCAAGTCCTGTAATTGCACTTTGGAATACAAGTACAACGCAATTTCCTTATGCGGATAACATTTTAGGTTCTGCAAAATAAGAATTGAAGATGATGACGTGGGCTAGAACTCAAGAGCAACTGTGCTGCTTCTGCTACAGCCCTCGCAGACGCCATTCCACAAAACATTAAAATAAAAACGGCCTAAGCGTCCCACTCGTTAGTTTGAAGTATTTCTATAGCATAAGAGCCGGCTTCGAGCCAGATCGCAGAAATGCACACGCGATTTTATTTTATTGCGTTTCCTTAGTTTTTTCAATTTTGTTTTATTTACATCTACATTCGTTGTTGTTCATTTCTAGCCTTTGTTATCTTCATCACCTTCTATTCGGACTTTGAAGCATGAGCAATACCTCAAATGTTAGGGAATTGCCTTTTGCTTGTATTGTCATGTTTTATTGTCATGTTGTCCGTTTTTACTGCCATGTTCTGTGGGAATGCGCGGCCTCTGAGGGATATTGCGGAAGCACCACAGTTGCTCTTGAGTTCTAGCCCTCGTCATCATCTTCGGTTCTTATTTTGCAGCACCTAAAATGTTATCCGCATAAAGAAATTGCGTTGTACTTGTGTTCCAAAGCGCAATTACAGGACTTGGCAAAAAACCAAGAGAGCTGCACGCGACAGCGCCGCGCGAATGGTGTTAGCATAAACGTGAGGGCGGTGTAGCAAGGTATTACGACTTTCCCACGGCCCCGTACTCTGACCCCGTGAAGTTTTGGGCGGAGGGACCACGACACATCGATAGCTGGGGGGCTTATAGTCTGATACACCCTCAATGTGTTTGAGCGTACCATGTGTCTTTAAAGAGCGCGTTGCTGCGAAGCTCCAACCAATATGCTATATCGATGTGCTGGAGTGGTCTCTTAAACGCGAACTGCAAAGAATGCACGAATCATGTGGACTTCTCACCATGACTGCTTCTTCACTTGCGCTCTGCAGCACAAATTCACGGTCACTGGAACACATACAGCTTGGACCGTCCAAGTATATCGATTGGTGTCTGCATCAGCGTCGCTCAACACAAGATTAAGGTGTTGAGGGGACCGCCGAATGAAGAGGTAGAAATCAGCGTCAGGCGCCTGAAGAACGAACAGCGCAGCGACTTTTCAAAAGCACTGCCAGTCCATACCGAGTGCATGGAGAGGTTAGAAGAGCACTCTCACCAACCAGAAAACATCACATCAGACACAACATCGCAACATTAAATAGGTGCCATTCAATTAGACATCTTGATAGGCGTCTGTGCTCGTCAGCGTTTCAGCTATGGTCCTGAAGAAGGCTACTGTTTTTTTTGAGACATGCAATCTAACAAGAGTCCGTTATTTCTGTAACCGTAAAGGATGCAGCCCTCGCGTCCCAGACGTAAACAACTCCCATGGAAGTGTCGCCTTTTCCCTTGCTGAATATCTTGCCTTTTCCGATGGCAACATATTTCTTGCGAGGGCACAGCGATTATTTACAAGTGAGGAACCGACCTTTGCTAATTTGGGCTTGCTATGGGTCTCTACGAGGGGCCCCAACTATTGCCGAATTATATGGTGACTAACCTTAACGCTTTACTTCTGAGCCAACGAGGTTTTAGGTGAAACTTTATTGAAGGCCTAACGTTTCGACCATTTTTTTGCCGTTTCCACCTACACTCTACAAGGAAACTGAACCCATAACAGAAGTGGATGTCAAATCGAGAAGTCTGTCAGCAGGAATTCTGTCTGTTTTGACTGAGAACAGACGGTCCCGCTGCAGTAATTTGACATACGAGCATGGCAAGGTTTCAGAGGTTACGTGAGCAAAGATCGAACGGTACCATACGCATCTCTGTGAGGGATAAAGGTCGAGAGTTTGTAATCTCCACCTGGCGGATTCATTAATGTTTCGTCAGGCGACAGAGAGAGAATTCCACTCTCAATGCAAACGTCTCAATAGTGTTTGGATGCAGCAGGGACAATCAGCGGGACTGAACGAGAAGTTTCTCTCTAGACTCAAACTCGACACTCCCGACTGCCCTGTTTTTTACAGCCTCGTAAAGGCCCACAAACTTGCTCCTGATCAGATGGTGTCAACGTCACCGGAAACTTTCAAAATTCGACCCATAGTCATCATCATTACGTACTGTCGGGGCAGTTCAGTGCGGTTGCGTTTGGCGCGGTACCAAACCCACTCTCCACCAGTATTGAAAGCGAGCAAATGATATGACTGTATTATATCCTTCGTATTACTCGTTTTCTACCACTTTTTGTCGCATACGCGTTTCAGCAAAAAAGGCTGAGAACGGCTTTAACAGTGTGCGCACCCTACTGGCGGACATGCCCCACCGGTCCGCAATGATGAGGACTGTATTATCAGCTGCGTCGGTGGCCCAACCGATCGAATCTCATGGCTTCTCAACTGCATCGTGGGCACGTTGTTGACCAGTGTTCCCTCTCATCTGACCAACACGACAATTTACGGTTGACATCCATGCGTAGTGGAGTCATTCGATGTCACTTCGCTTTATACTAAAGTCAAAAACGAACAAGCTCTACTGGCTTTGTCTGAAATGTCGGACAGGCATGCTGGAAGCATGGAGACCTTTGGACAAGATAAAGCGCACATCATGACTTTAATCAAGGCTTACTTAGAACGTAACAACTTTGAATGGTCAGGAACCTATTATGCTCAAACGAGAGGTCTCGCGATGGATCAACGCTTAGTGCCAGTGCTTGCAGTCTGCTTTATCAGCAGAATAGAGGAACCAGTACTGGAGCGATCACCGTTAGTATACTGCATGATGTGCTGCAGGTACATCGATGACTGCTTCAGCGTAACATCAACACAATTGAAATGGATGAGTGTTATCGTTCGATGAACCAGCAGTTGCAGTACATTGAGCTCACGCGAGAAACACCCTGCAACGGTTGGCTGCCTTACCTCAACACGCAGGTGAAAGTTTCCGATGGCATGCTAAGTGTGAAATGGTACAGGAAAGCAAGCTCTAAGAACATCTTGATTCATGCCACTTCTGCACATCCTTCTGCCTTGAAACGTGCAGTTGTCCGAAACATGTATAGGACTGCTGCGAACGTGAGCACAGATGTAGCATAACGGCAAGAGTCTACGCGATTGGCTGCTGATATAGCTATTTCTAACGGCTATACTCTTCCACAAACCCACAGAAGGTTTCACTCTGAGCACCCTAGCGTACCCCGTGAGACTAGACAAAAGAAGATCCCCCATGTAAACCGTTCATATCTGATAATGTAAACGCCGCAATTCAAAGATGTCTGGCTCGGGCACGCTGGAAGATGATGTGTTCTTAGTGAACATCCCTAATGACAACGTCAAGCGCCACCTTGTACGTAACAGACTCTACGATAAGCACTGCATATCAGATCATTGCATTATATGTCCAACGGTAAAGCTGGAGATTGCGCCAAAGCTGGCGTGATTTACCAAGTCGAATGCCAGACATGTAATGCAACATACATTGGGGAGACTGGAGGGAAACTGGCAACATGTATTAGAGAACATCTTGCTGGAAAAAGGCGTGGTAATTCAAGGACACCGTTGGGGAAGCATCTAATCGAAGAGCACTGCGAGAACGATTTTGATGTGAAGTGCAGGAATCTAGCGTACGAGACGGAGATTTCCGCTAGAAGAGCGCTAGAGGCATTCTGGATTTCCGCAAGGAATCCTAGAATGAGCAACCGCAAGGAGTGCTCAGCCATAACGAATGATCTCTTACCGTTTTCACCACATTGCGGTCTACATATGTAAGCGATGAGACGTACAAGTCCTCACTATAGCTACTATATAAGGACGGCACAATATGTCTCACTTACTTTACTAACATGTTGCAGAGCGGCGTTGATCCGCTCATGCCGCGGGCAGGTTTTTGGTTGTTTCTAGAAGTACGGTCGGAAACGCTAGGGTGACGAGGCCTATGACAGTTTAGAAGGCAAACCAAAAATCTTGAGCTACATTTAGGCCCTTGAGGACGACGATCTGGTCGAGACGTTAGGCCTTCAATAAAGTTCCACCTACAAACTCTTTTTCTTTTTGCACCTGCTTTTTCTTTTTTGCACCTGCCGCTGTTGGTATTGCGCAATGGTAGTTGACCCCTTGCGACGTTGGCGGACCTACTACGATGGTATCCGGAGTTCGTGTTGAAGCTGGTCCGAACTTGCAGTGTGGCAGCCACTGCCCTTCCGAGCCATCTATCGTCTGCCACTCCCAGAAGCGCCCACCCCCCCCCTGTATTTTTCTTCTCTCCATCCCATTGTTCATGGGTTATCGAAACAAGTTCGCAAAACCTTCCTATTTTTGAGTTGGCATTGTTTGTAACGATAATAAATCAAATCAAACCTCATTGGCTCAGAAGTAGAAAATCAAGCCTAAAACAATGCCGAGGTTATACGAAGAGAAAATTTGGAGATTACTAACCTTAACCTTAACCACAATCTGTCTCTGTGCATAAACCAGATCACCTCCGTGCTTGTATGTTTGTCTGACCACCCAGGAAATGAGGACTGCGTGAGAATCTCTATACGTAGCGGGTCAATTTTGATATCGATGGGGCAAGTCAAAATGCGCGGAGCACACGCAAGCCATGCGAGGCTCCGCTACAATAGGCGCCCCGCAACCCAAGTGTGCGGTGCCAGGGAAGAAACGCCGGAAAGGAGTCATGGAATTGGAGAAAAACAGTCGAAGGTGCGTAACGAGTTGGCGAATAAAATAAGAGAGAGATAGCCGCGCTGGGGAAGACGTGCACCGATTGGGTAGCGATTGCTGCAAGGTTTGATAATTCGATCTGTCAGCACAACAAATTCTCAGCTGTCCCGACGGCGACATACAGAGATATGGAGGACTGCCTTTAAATTGGGGGGGGGAGGGCGGGGGCGGGCGCATTGGTTACACTTTACCGTGCAATTATTCGGAATCAAACCGGTTTTTGATCGACTTTTTCTCCGTGGACAGACTTGACTGCAGAGTTGCCTCGTGGGGTGAATTTTCCTCATGAACCCGTATATCACAACCGCTCAACCGGAAATTGCTGACGCCTGCGCCATAGGCGCCGGCGTCAAATTACTCGTAAGCAGCAAAATCGCTGAAACTTATCAACTGGGGTAGTTTGACCTCCAGAACACGAATATCGCATCCGTTCAGTCCAAAACCGCCTGATACACGTCACAAGCGGCTCACCACACGCTTGTTTTGACTCCAGAGCGTGTAGGCTTCAGTCGCTTTCGTGCGAAGCTGTGTGCATGGGCAGTCAGGCAAACAGTGGAGAAAAGCAGCACTCGTCCTGGTTGCCTGTGACAGCAATCCTTTCCTTTACTAAACATCAGCCTCAGCAGTGGAGAGATCACTATCTCGGGAAAAGGGTGCAGACGAGCAGAAGCAGGTTGCGCTATCATGTGTACCCCCTTTACTCTGTCTTAGACATTCTCATCGCCCTATGCAGAGATGATATTCGTGCTCAGGAGGCCAAGCTACCCCCACAGACAGGTTTTCGGAATTTGATGGTTTGGGGTATCTTGACGCCGACGCCATTCATGTTCGAGAGGGCGAACTACCCCAGGACAGCTTTTCAGTCAATTCTGCACACGTAGAAAAAAATTCGGTCTAAAAGTGACCTGATTCCGGATGGCTGGAGTACTGGAGGGTAAATATAATAGTACCCCAAAATCAAAAGGTTTTCTCGGATTTGAAGGCACCATCACACGCTACCAATCACTAGACCTCGCGTAGCGACAGGAAATTTATTTCTCAAGCGGTCATAGTATCTGAAAGTCAGTGAAATTATCTAGTAGGCGTGTGAGGGGGACGGTGCGAAAAATGATTGCAGGGGCGAACTTCTTGCAGGGGTTTGTCAGCACCAGCAGAATGCAAACTAAATGTGCAACACAATGTGGTAAATGCGGTCTAACTTGAAGAAAAATTCCAGCAAGGCACAGAAGTTAAGCTCGTAGCGAAATATTTCATCTGCAATGAATTCCGCCGTGAAATGTCTCCTACGAATTGAAACTGGTACCATTAGCTATAGTACCTTCAGAGGACCCTACAGAAATGCCTTCCAAGCAATACTACGCCCTGAGTAATTTATGATCTACCTGAATGTTGTTGCTCTCGAGGTTCAGATGTTGCAAGCTCTCTAACCCAGCGAAGGTTTCTTCATCAATCTCAGTTAATTGGTTAAACGCAAGGTCCAGCACCTGAAATTAATTGCTCAAAAAAGTTAGAGTGGTGATGAGATTTCTGAGGACAATGGACTTACTTGAATTTGTTTGAGTTGGGCCATTGTACCCACAACAAATGAACGAATATTGTTGCCTGCCAGGTAAACATATCTCAGATTTGGTGTGTTCCGCAGAGCAGATGGATGAATGAATGAGATCCTGTTATTGCTAAGGGATAGCATGACCAACGAGGTGAGATTCGTTAAGTCGCCTTCGTTAATGATGTTGATCTATAAAAACAATTGGTATCGTCGCAGTCAGTCGTGTTCTCCGAGGGACCAACCGACGTCACCTGCGGCGTTTCCACCACTGGCGGTTTTCTTCCTGAATCGATCACCAGCCGATCTTCATCGGTATACAGCAAGGCAGAAGGAGGCCGGCTGATCCCGCTCTCCTCACCCTACCCCCGACCAGGGTACAGCATCGTGATGTGTGAAGTAGTGGTGTAGGTACGACCCCCCCTCTCTCGAGGGAGGATCTTGGTACGACCCCTCCCCCCTTCTCCACCTACCTACCAATTTCCTCCATTTTCCAGTTTTACCTGAAAATGTTCTCCTGAAGGGGGGGGGGGTTATACGATACATCCGAAACAGGAAAAGGAGCGTGAAACTTTAACAACCGGAAAAAAAATTTCCGCCGCCAATTTCTCTCAAAGCCACATACGACCGCCCCCTCTCCCAACAACGACCAATACGACCACCCCCCCCCCAGCCGAAAAGTACGACCCCTTGTGTGTTTCACGCAACGATGCTGTACCCTGCCCCCGACTGATTGCTATGTCACAAATTATACCTTTTTTGATTTCGATTGATTCCCCTTATCAATAACTAAACTTCTCCAGTAGAATATAAAAAAAATACCAAAAAAAACTGGGGAAGCCTAAGCACTAGCCTCTTTGGAGTTTTGTCGGAGTCCCTTCAATTTCGGCGAAAAAAGTTTCTACAGAGAAATTGAGCTAGGAAAATGCACTTAGTTGTCAGGATGTCCCGCAAGTTTCTTGACTTCCACAGCCAAAAAGGTTAATCACTATGTTTGCTCAGAAATGACCTATCAAAGCGAAGTATCGATGCAAACTGTTTATAAGTTGCTAAGACTGTTTGCCTGTTTGCTTTTGTCCGGCGATTCGGCTCTGCTTGAAGAGAAATTTGGAGTAGTTAGGTCAAGGTTGCGACGAATAGGTCATGGAACAAGATGTACACTCGTCATCCGGGCAGTTGAATAGGGTAGTCGTCAGGGGGCCGCAGACGCAGCTGCAGCAGCGACCGCGTACGTAGAAACTGTGTGCGGCAATCTGCCGTTTCTGGCCTCCTTTAGTCATTTTTCCCTACTTTTCACTGTTTTTGGCACTTTTTTCAAGGTCAACTGTTCTTCGTCTTCACAGGATTAATTATGATTGCGTTTTTTCTAAATTCTGCGAAAAATTAAACGATTAAACAAACAGTTGGTAAAACACCTGAGAAAATCGCAAAAAAACACCTACTACAAGAACAAAAAAAAGAGTTCACGTCTCGATGTACTTCATATAGGCAACGAAGCAAATGACCTTGAAGAAAAACAGCCAAAAACAGTGAAAACTGGGGAGAAAACTGCTAAATTAGGGCGGAAACAGATGATCGCAGCGATCGTGCCGCGCTGCAGCCGCGTCGCATCACTTGGGCAGTATAATCGACTGCCCGGATGAAGACTTTAGAGTCCACGCATGACTTCTGCTAATCCGGCCCCCTGTCGGCAGGGCATGTACCGAATGAGCGGTGTCGCAGACAAAAATTCATAACTAGGTCCAAGAGCGTCCTACAAGTGGGCGAAGATAGGCTAAGGTTAGCAAAGGGTTGAGAGACTAAATTAGGCGACACACCCGAGGTAGACGTGGCGTACGTGAGATAGGCGCAGATTTCACCAAAATTCTGTAACACGGTCCTTGGGGAGTTTGGAGATCGCTGAGGAGACGAGGAACATCTGGAGAGAGAGTTGAGGTCGTCTGTTGTGTGTGGTGACCAGCCCACAAAGAGCAGGGCGTGCCCCAAGCATGAGGTACTTGTTTAAGGAGATTGTAGTTCGCTTTAAGAGCACTCCAGGGAGAAATGAGTCAGTGAGCTCACTATCTCATCATCACTTCCAATCACCGTTGTGAGAGGGACAGACACCACAGAACAGCAGAGAGGTGCCAGTAGCACCACAAAAAAAATCAACGGAAACGAAAATAACTAGCAGCATTAAAAGGTTGTCATACGTAAGTACGCAAGTGATTGAACAGTACAACTTGAGCGGGTCCATGGGTAGGCAATAGAAATTTCTGAACCCTATGAACACATCTGCTTTCGTTGACATTTTCTCCAATCACTCTTTCACAAGCTCGAAACTCCCTCGGGAACCGAGTTACTGAATTTTTTTTGGGAAGCACTGCCTATCTCAAGTAAACCTCGCTCATTTCGGGTATGCCTCCTTTAATTGGTCTGTCAATACTTTGCTAACCTTCTGCCACTTTTCCCCATCTCAGGGCTCTTCTGGAGCCGAAGGAATTTTTCAGTGACACCGCCAACATTCGGTGCATGCCCCACCCACTACAGACGAGACTTATCATTGTTACGTCTGCTCATTACGTCTTGCCCATGCCTTACCCATCCCAACCTTGACCTCTCCGAGATGTTCTTCAGAAAGAACCAAATTTCCGTATAAACAAACAAGCAAACTTAGCAAATTATATATACTGGGTGGTAACTGCGTTATTATAATAGTTATGATAACACCGACTGTATTGCATTATTATTACAGTAAAAAACATTGGAAAATTGTGCTGTCCTGGAGTATCATTTTCATCTGGATAAGGGTTAACGATGTGAAACTCTAAATGCCTATTAAAAAAAAACTAAAAAGACACCGAAAGTCTCAAAAGTTTCTTGAGATATATATTATCTTGCAATATTTCGGTGCATGGCACTTTCCTCATGCCTGAAATTATTTAGCTTGTTTTTAGTTAGACACTATACCTAGTACACAAATAAATACAACTCACACGGACTGCTCCCGCATTTTCAAAAAAAACTGACTTTCAAGTTTTTTGAATAAACATTTGTAGTTTCACACTGTGACAACACATTCAGTAAAAACATTATCAATAGTAAACACTACTTGGATACAAAGAAGAGGTGACAAAGATCAGATGACGAATTGTTCGCAGAACTGGGCAGGGGAGACAGCTGCGAAACATAACATTTGAAGTATAGTACTATAGTAGTATTTGAAGTATAGAAGGATTGGGGAAAAAGTTGAGGCAAAGCGGATATGTCCAGTGATGGATCACGCGCAGACATGGTGGACTGGGGGCCTCGGGAGACGTGCAACAGAATCGTCCAGGGCAGAGCCCACGGCACGCGGCGCGTCGAGCGGCGAATGACTCAGCAGCTCACGGAAGTGCATTTGTAAGCCGATTGCTTTGTGATTGGAGCAACTGATCTACCAGCGTACATCCGCAATGTTTCCTAGATTTCATCAATTAGTTGAAAATCTAACGATGTTTCTCTCGACACTAATACACAATTGTCTGGCGGTTCTATAGACGCAACTTCAGGAAATAAACAAATACAAAAAAAATCAGACAAGGCAGTTATTCTTCCTATGTGTGTGATTCACATGATTCGAGCAGTCGTCATTGTCAATATTTGATAGATTAATGGTCAAGTTTTCCTGTGAGCTGCTGTAAACATACCATGGTAAACATTAAAGACCCTAATGAACTTCTTCATTCACTATGGAAAAACAGAAAAAAAAACTAAAAAGTCAACCTTCACCGTACACAAGACTCGATCCTGGATGATATCAATCTTCACCGTCCCTTCAATATCCCTATTCAAACGGCCAGACGCAAGATTTGTCCTCTCGCTGCAAGCATGCCGCAGGCCACCCCACCAGCTGCACCGTACGATTCTGTTGCTACACATCCGGGGGCCTCGAAGAACCGCGGAGTTCATCTCAAGCGGGGTGTACGCATATAGTTTGAGATCACCTTATAATTACTTTTTCGCACCTCTGTATACTAGAAAGTGGGACTACCCCCCCCCCTTAATTGCTTACGCTGACTGGTGACCTCTCACGGCCAGGCTCACTCAAGAGAGACTAACGAGATATGGAATGAATAAAAAACTTCATTACTTGGTTTATTGAAACACCAGTTTGGCTGGCACACTCTACTGCGCTCCTGGCGTGATAAATGTGTACCATAGTAAATCACGATTAATGCTGTTTTTTTCTCTTTTTTCGTATAATTATCATCCATCCTTTTCTTGATTGTGCTGTGGACCTCACATGAACAACCCTTCCCCTCCCGTTGGACGTGCAGTAAACAATAGGTACTGTATACTTAGCGTGAAATACGGTGAACCTAGAAGTATAATGGTGAAAGAATTAGAGGAAAATGAGCCCACATCTCTTATTTACTCCTATCAGTTGATATAATCCCTTGTCCCCCGTAATCCATTATCACAAAATTTTATGAATTGGTAGTGTGAAAGAGTGCAACACCTCTTATCTGCCCGTATCAGTTGTTATCCCTCTCTCTGACCCATCAGTAATAACCCCGTCACATCCAATGTATCACCAATATATCACTTATTGGGACCAACTTCCTAGTGATACTGTGACGGGCGACGCTTGAGTTTCAATACCCTTTATCAGATCATAATAATCCTTATGCGTTCTGCCACCCATAAGTGATATTCATGACCCATACACTACAGTCTTAGAACTAAACGTTCCATCAATGCCGAAACCCACGTTATGAACTTGATGACCCTCACCTAAGGCCCCTTATCATCTATTGTTAGCTAATATCATCCTGCCACCCACCAATGAAGTTCATATCCAACCCCTATGCCACTTCTTGGAATCAACTCAACGGCTCCACCGCTGCAGTGCAAGTTATGAACTTGGCGACCCTCCCTTTTTAAGACCCCATGTCAGCTGTTATCAATTCCTGCCACCCGTCATCCATGTTCCCGTCTCACCTTTCCCGTTTACAAAAAATTCCATTCTATATAACTATTATAATTACCGAACTATATAACTTCACTTATATTTATTCACTTAGCTCATATGAGTAACTTGATGAGAGATCAGCAGTCAGCGTAAGCAATTAAGCGGGCCTATCCCACTGGCAAGTATGCGGAGGTGCGAAAAAGTAATCATAAGGTCATCTCGGGTAGGTAATGGTACGCTCGACCTCGTTAATGACTTGTCGCACTTATGATTCGAGGCATAATTAGCGAGGTGCGAAGCCGAGCACGTCAGCCGAGGCACCCAGGAGCTACCAAAATCGGCACAAATTGAGTGAAAACTCCCAACATTAAGGTTAAGGCTTACGGTAAAGAAAAAAGATTAAGGTGAAAGCTTACAAAA